CCGGCAGCTTGGCGGGCGAAGAAGGTTCGCGTTTGTCACCTGCAGCAGCCGAAGCAGCTTTCATAGCTTCATCAGCTTGAACATCACCAGGCTGCGTGGCGCCTGTAGCAGGCGCAGCTGCAGCGTTCTTTTCCTTGAGCGGCGTGCCAATGTAGAAAGACTTTAGCGGTGGCTGTGAGGATTGCACAGTTGCAGGCCCAGTGTTGGAATGGAAATTGACCTTTCCGTAACTGGACAACTTCTTTGTAATGGGCCGCTGAGGTCTCTGCCTGGGCGCTTCAACGACAACAATGGTGTGTTCGCCGGCCTGGATCTCAAGGAAATCAAGATCTCTTTGAGCATTCGCATGTGCCCACCATTCAACTTGCTTGCCCAAAGTTTTGCGAGACAAAATCTTTGGATCTTGCAAGCCAGCACGTGTGATCGCTTCAGTGACCGTGCTGGCTGACCATTCTCGGGGCACACCACTAATGCGCCATGCTCTTGGCTTTGGAATCGGGTCAGATGCTCTGGGCTTTCGGACGCCTAAGCCGCCCCACCCTCTTGCAATGCCAAGATCACCTGCCAAACTTCGGACCTTTTGAAGATAGCTGGGGCCATCAAGGTCAGGACCTTTCTTGATCCATTCAACATCACATGACTCCACCACACTGTTGTTCCATTGGAGAGGTTCGACGAACCACAGACTTTTCCCAGAACAAGAAAGCAAGCCTTTCGCTGCATCTTTCTCAATCCTCAGCAACCCAGTAATGACCGGCTTGCCACCACCCTTCGTGCACTCCTCTTGGAAAGCCCACATGTCAAAAACTTTGGCACCAATGTGGGCGGGCACATGCCTTCGCAACCATGACTGAGCGCTAGCCTTTGGTTTGGCTTGGATGCTCTGCCACTCTTTGCTCAACAAATACTTTGCTTCAACGCTCAACCTCACAACCACCGTCTCAGTCTGAGCTGCAGGAGCAGCAGAAACAACGGCTGCTCTTTTGAGTGTTGGTCCGTTTCCTTTCAAGGCTATCAGGTAAGCCTGCCTTGGCTGAACTTTCCCAGCTATTTTGCCAGGTATGAGCCTCAACTGTCTGCCGTCGATCTGCTTCGCTTCTTTTGGAGCTAACAAAACTGCAGAGACATGCAATTCTCTTGTCTGATCTGTTGCATCACCTTCTGTCAAAACTTTGAGCTCACTCAGTTGCTCTTCCGATTCACACTGCACTGTTGCTGACACATTGCCAGGCTGATCCAACGCACTGCAAAAAGAATCAAAAGTCAAAACTTGGCCGGTCCAGTCCGACTGTCTCAAACACCAAACTGGTTTGAACGGTGCGTTCGTTCGAACTACTTCCACAAAAGACTTGGATGCTTGTGTGGGCTGTTTCTTGTTGGCATCCTGTTTGCGATTGGGACTTGGGGTCTAGGGTTGATAATTTCTACTGATTCTACTGTAGTGTTCGATTCGATGAGTATTTGTTTATATGTGAGAAAATCAAGGGTTGGGCGAGGGGTTGAGCAAAGTTTCGTTCTAGAGTGTGAAGTAAAAAGCTATGCAAGACTTCTTGCGCGCGCACACACACACTATATACGTATATAAATATATATATATGTGTACTTTTTGCGCAAATATCATATTCTATTGTGGCACATTCCGGCTCCTTTATTGTTCCGTGTCCGTGAAGCAACAGATGCTCTCTTGAAATTTAAAAAATTAGCAATGCTCTTCTGAGCAGTGGAAGACACATCCGTGTTCTTACAGTGTCTTTAGTGGTGTTGAGTTTGTCCTAGAGGATATCCTTCCTGCATTGTCGACTCTCAGGGAACATGTCTCAACTTGCTTTTGTTCTGCATCTGACCGAGGTCCTGCAAAGCGCGGTGAACGAAATCCTGTCTATGCTTTTCAGAGAATGCTCATGAAGATGGTCGCTTGTTCATGGTTGAATGAGTTAAATGTGTTTTACTTTGTTCCACACACAGGTTTCGCACTTGGCGAATTTTGAACCTTGCTGAATCGCAACTAGTGGACAGTGCAAATGCGTGATGGCTGAAGGTTTCTTTGGTTCCGGGAGCCAAAGTCATCCTACTCGTATGCGATCCCATCCGATGGCTTCATTCAGCATATGCAGACACAATGAATTGGAGCCTCAGCCGGAGGATTTGGCTGCAAAAGCACAAGATTGCACACGTGTAAATCTCGGTCTTCAGATTACATCAGAATTCCATCCAGCCTTGGAGACTCATTGTATTGGCTTTCCCTTGCGGTCTTTTGCAGACTAACTTTTGACCCTTGCTTCGCGAGCTCCGCGCATTTCCATGTTATCTGGTGGGATGGTAGGGATGCCACTGCTGCGCAGCAAAACAGAAGGATTCTGAAGGTCCACCGAGCCCACCCGACAAAGATCGTCAGAGTAAGAATTTCCGCAGTCCCGAGAGTTGGAGAGAAAGGACAGAAAGCCCAGCGAGAAGACCAACCCTTTTGGTAGAAAAAATCAGCAAAACATCCACAAATTATACACAAGTATACTACAGTATACGGACATCTATGTCTAATCTATGACCATAGATCTTAGCTTCTCAACAAAGTATTGCGCCTCATATTGCGCCTCACTGCAGAGATATCGAAATGGTTTTTAACCCATGCCTCCAAACATTGGCCGCCGAGCCTTGAAATGTCCTGTCAAGACGGCAACCCACTTCCTTGGAAACCAGCAAGACTTGCAAGAACAAGCTTTGAAGAGTGAATGCACATGTTTCAGACACCCCAGCCCAGCAAGTCAATCCAATGAACTTGTTTTCTCGCAGGCTGCAGGGATCCGGCCTGCAAATTTCCAAAGTCAATTCACATGAAATGAATTTGCAACACAGTGACAATTGCGTGGCTAGTTCCAGGCAGACATTTTCAAAGATTCACAGATCTGGAGGTATGCCGGTAGGGAAGATGATCCTCCGCGCCCTCCATTGCAAGACTTTGCGCTTGCAGACTTTGTGGCCGCACCGAAGCCCACGTCCTTGTCGAACCTTGGATTGTGCAGTGCGGTAGGAACCGTGGATTCTGTCTGCAAGACTGGAAACGAAATTGAAATGAATAAACTGAAGCTGAAACAGACAGTAAGCAGAGGACTTGGAAAGCCGACTATAGAAGGAGAGAGGCACACTAGGCAGAGTGCTCGCGTGTTCCCCGCTTTCAAAGATCGAGGAACAAATGGTACAACCTCAGTCGCAGAAGGGCCTTCTTCACGTTTCTGGCAGAGGGAATCGTCAGGATATTTGGCACTGAGAGAGCTGCTCGACATGTTTCCAGATGTTTTTTTTCTGTAGTCTTTTTATTTGGCTTGTCATGTCTCAGCAGATTGCAACATTCTAGCATAACTATCTTTCCATACTTCGCCATGAACCACTTAACTTGCAGCCAAGGTGCATATGCTTCATCGAGACTCCCTGGATCCTTCGCTCACTGCTGATTCAGGCCGGCCAGATTTTGCCGTGAGACCCCTTCAACATCCCCACAAGTGAACCAAACGGACTGGATGAAGCTGATTAAGGTGCTACTTGGCAGGCTGTCACCCCTCTGTCAGAGTGCAGTGAACGTCACTGAACTAGGTGTGAAAATCTAACAGTTGGAGTCAAAGCTCAAGGCGCTTAGAGCAGTGCTTGCGCAAACCTTCCCCTCTGTTCATGTCTGTTCATGTCTGTTCATCTCTGTTGCAGGAGTTCGCGAAGCCTATAATCGCTTGGCTGCATTCCTGGGCCTGAGGCAAGCCGTGCACAGACCAATCGAACGGATCGAGATTTGCCGTTGTGGCACCATTGTGGCACCCGTTGTGGCACCGTTGTGGCACCGTGGCACCAGGCCGTTTGAGGCTCACGCAGTCTTTGATCACAAGAACAAACGGGTGAAGGTCTGGAGCTCTTGCCGCGCTGCGTGCTGGTCTTGAAATGTCTTGAAGGTGTTGAAATATGTTGAAATACTGGGTTCATGTTAAAGGTGATGTTTGTTGATACATGTCTTATGATATATGTTGTGATTTAAAGTGATGTTGCAATATGCGGTATATTGTTGTATTATGTTGTATCACTATGTAGCATTGTTGTAGCCATCCTAGTCGAATTCCTTTGAGACTCTATGCCCATTTATGCCATTCATGGACGGAGGCCAATACAACAAAGTCATTGGCTCTTTGCGAGGACGCGTTTGTCTTGGAGCGACTAAAGAGGTGCACTTCGCAAGTCTCGCAAGTGATTTTCGATATTTTTTGTAGCAGTGATTTGTGCAGCCGTCCTTTCAAATCCTCTGGATAGGTACTACCGTCAAGAATACGCCCGCCTTCCAACATGGATTGGGCGTCTAGGCAAGAGCAACTTGCTGAAGAGGGACTAAGCAGACTTAAAGCAAGTGTACAGCTGGCGAGTCAAGCGTTCTTTGTGAAGTTCTCACTCTTTTCTAAACTGACAGAATCCTGCACAGACCGTCTTGGCAGTGCTCAATGATCCATTCTGAGAAGAGACATAGTGCAGTCAGCAGTGACACGCAGAAATCACGCACTGCATGAAAGATCAAATCCTTCACCACTAGATACAGAACACTCGGTTTACAGTCTCGACTTGCCCTTGGCTGCCCAGGGCAGTTTAATCCAGTCCAGGTTTGAATATACAAGATTCTCAAGATCAGAAAGGTCCAAGTTCAGTACAGTATATCAGTATATCTTTCAATACGCTTTAAAGCATTCTAAAGCATTTTAAAGCATTCTAAAGCATTCTAAAGCAAATACATCATGTTCGAAGAAATCGGCAGGTGGCCTAGTACCTCCTGGAGTCGCTGCAAATCTGACGAGCTGTGCCCAAAAGCTGCGTGCATCGTGCACAGCCCGACACTGCATGTGTTATCATGTGCCGTCTTGGTTGAATGCATGATGATGCATGAATGATAGCGCATGACAATGCATGATAATGCATGTATAGTATGGAGAGAAGCTTCAGCTAGATTAGAGTTCTTTCGGAACTGACATGTGCAGGCTCATGACGGAGCGAGGCCGCATCCAGCGAAAGGAAGAGAAAACCAGACAGACAAAGGCAAGCATATGTTCATGGGATTATACTTTTTTTTAATCCGCTGATCTTTGAATCTGAAGAAACACTACCAGCTTGCTGAGATTTTACCTGGCGCTGACTTTAAAGTTAATATCGAAACACAAGTCAGTACTGAGAATCCAGATCAAACAATAAACCCAAGCCTCAGTTCAAGAATGCGAAGGAGCCTTTTTCCCATAAACAACTTGCTTTAACCGGCTCAGAGCTATTTGTAAAAGTGCCGGGTGATTGACATGATTTGCCCTTGCCTACTGTGCTTGCCCAACGGTTAATATATTTCCCCAACAACGTAAGCTAATGGGGTCTTCAGCCCAGAATAGCTCCGGTGTGCACTGGTGCAGGCGCCGGCTCAGGTTCAAACTTCGGTGCAGAGCCAGGTCAGGTTCAACAGGGTTCCGGAAAAGGTTCCGGTGAAGGTCTGGGAGGCTTTGGTGCAGAGCCAGGTCAGGTTCAACAGGGTTCCGGAGAAGGTTCCGGAGAATGTCTGGGAGGCTTTGGTGCAAAGCCAGGTCGGGTTCAACAGGGTTCTGAAGAAGGTTCCGGAGAAGATTCTGGGAGGCTTTGGTAGAGCCAGGTCAGGTTCAACAGGCAGAAGGTCTGGGAGACTCTGGTGCAGAGCCAGGTCAGGTTCAGCAGGGAGAAGGTCTGGGAGGCTTTGGTGCAGAGCCAACTCAAGTCCAACAGGGTTCCGGAGAAGGTTCCGGAGAAGGTTCCGGAGGCTTTGGTGCAGAGCCAGGTCAGGTTCAACAAAGTTCCGGAGAAGGTTCTGGAGAAGGTGTGGGAGGCTTTGGTGCAAAGCCAGGTTAGATTCAACAGGCTTCCGGAGAAGGTTCCGGAGAAGGTTCCGGGGAAGGTTTGGGGAGGCTTTGGTGCAGAGCCAGGTCAGGTTCAACATGGTTCCGGAGAAGGTTCCGGAGAATGTCTGGGAGGCTTTGGTGGAGAGGCTTTCATGCAGGGCCAGGTCAGGTTCAACGGGATTTGCAGCCATTTTACTACGGAAACCCAGCTGATGTGTTTCCAGCGCTTGGCTTCGCAGCACGCTTCTGAAAGATTTGTAAAAATAAAACGTTGCAGCTGTTGGGGATACCGCCGGATCTCATTAACCTCCTGGGTTTGTCCACATTGCAAAGTGGTTTTGATGTCTCGCCGTATGATCCCTTGAGAGCAGAATGTGCAATTCTTGTGCCAGGCTTTGAAAATTCAACAACTGCAGAAAGCGGAGGAGCCATGACTGGCAGCTGTGGTTGATGAAATCTCCGTCCTCCTTGCAAAATCAACAATGGCATTCCATGGTTTTCCCATTATATATGTACACCTTTCAGGGGTGATGCACATACTTTCTGCTTTTCCTTCTATGATCACTGGTCTTCAATTTTCATATCTCTCGACTTGGCTTGGACCAGCCTTCCAGAGCCCCCAGTGGCTGCACTTGGACGCTCCAACTGTCAGGACAGAGAGCGAGGATTTCAGCTTCATTTTGCTGGTGCAAATGAAGATAGATTGAAGGAGGCGAAACACAGTGAAACATACGAACTTGTACGAACATGTGTAAGAGTAGCCGCGGCTACTGTGACCCTCAGAGGGAACTAGGTGACAGAGATCCCGAAAACATATCACGCATTTCGTGTATTAGTGTCTTTTTTGTGGCACACGCCCGCAGGGGTGGACACCTAAATCAACTGTGAGCCTGTCAGGTAACCGTGGAACCTGACAGGTGTAGCAAACATGCAAAGACCCCAGGCGGATCCCAAGGTAACGTAAACGTAGAGTTTGGACTTGCACAGAGACAAGTTGGAGACCAGGTGTCAATAAGGACACCGGTTGCAACAAAAACAAAACACCAGCTACCAATCGCAGCACGATGCACGTTTCAAATTACTATACCGCACATGCAATCAACAAGGCGAAAAATGATCCCATTTCTACAAAGCCAGCATTTTTTCAAACAAGTCAGTGCGTATTCTTTGCGTCGTTTCTGTTGTGTTTGTATGTGTCATGTACATAATCTGTACTGCCCACATGTTCATGTGTTTCATGTATTCAAACATGTTTGTTTTTTTGTTATTTCTTTGGTGACCGTTTCCTTTAGCTTATTGTTGGAGACGCTGTTCATGCAACCGCCATGTATTTTTTCCATGATTAGCGCCATCGAACAATATTATGATTTGTGATCAAGACAATGTGATTTTGACCTGCTTATCCACAGGCCAGGAGAAGGCAACAAACTTCGCAGGCTTGGTTTGTGACAACTGATAAAATTCCTGGTTCTACAGAGTTCCTGACAGTTCCTGACAGTTCGTGGATCTCCGCTTGGAGGAACCATATTTTGAGTTTGCCGATGCAGGTTCCTTCAGCTGGTGGCATGGAGACGCGACCTAAGTCCCAGCAGAAGCTAACCGCAAATTTACACAGGGTTTGTAGCAGTGACTATGGTTGTTCAACAAGCAAGAAACGATGCTGCTGTGGGTCACAGAATTCATACATTTTGCACACCTGGAAATCTCATGATATTAGAAAATATTAGACATGTTTTTTTTTCTTGCCGTACTTGAATCACCGCGAGAGAGGTCACACAAAAAAGAGTGGCAGTTGAAGACAGTGGAACTACCTGGAAAGGACAGCTTTGCAATGACATAAGGAAGATCAGAACAGACATTGTGATCATATGTGGTCATGTATTCTCATACGACGACCTATATATTTATGCGTTAAGCAGGTCCTGTGATTTGGAAAGGCCTTTTCTGGAATTAGTCTCTGTGCATAGATGGCAACTGAAATTGCGGCAGCATGCCTTCTTTTGCAGGATGGAGCCGTATATCGCTCGTCTCCTCATGAGAAAAGCAGCCAGGCAGCCATTTTTCAGACAAAATCACCAGGAAAACTTCAGATTTTGTGTGCGAACTGACTGGTGGGGCCACGCGGGCACCACGACGGCTCCGTAGTGGACAGAGAGACTACCAAAAAAGAAGAGAAAATTTAACGATGTTTAAAGACTAAAGGAGATAGTCTGAGATTGTCCTAGGCCAGAACTTGAAAGACTAACGTCTACGTAGGAAACAGGTTAGTGCTGGCACCTCCTGCATGTCTAGCATTGGGCATTTGATGGGTATTTGACTTGGCCTTGCATTTGTGTACTCATGTTACTCATATCATAACTTTGGCGCGTATTTTACTGTATGCCTTCTTCAAGACCACCTGCTTTATCTGAACAGAAAGGCAAACATGTGCATGAATTGGTTTGTTCGTGATAAATTGCAGAGAGAGAGAGAGACTTCCTTGGCAATACCCTCTCCAGCTCCTGTGTTTGTCTGCAAGCGGCCACCACAAGTTTGAGTTGCTGTCAGTTTTGAAGAAACACGTGGAAAGTAAGTTCTTTATGACCTTTTGCTGATTGTTCCATATTCACAATCAGTCCCTCTTGCTTTAGCAAGGTATTGGCAGGAATCTCCAATCACATGAAACTTTACAGATACACACCCCTCTCTGGAGTCGATCAGCAGGGGCTTAAGCGCTTCTGGTCTCCTGCTCCTTGGCTGGGAGTGATATTTATTGAGACATCATATACATCATTGTCAGTGCAATGTATTCATGACTACGATATTTCTCGTGACTGCTCCGCAGGTGAAGAAGTCAGGTTTTGTTTCCACGTCGTCTTGGTTGTACCCGCCCTGCTACTGTAGCTTTCCTTCCTTACCCCTTGGCCTCGAGTTGTCCACGGAAGGGTACGGGTACTGTAAACAATCCTGCGGAGAGAAACTTGACTACGGGAACGGCAGCCCGGATTCATGCAGCTTGTTATAATTTCTTCTTTGGGGTTTGCAATGCGACTTCTCAATTGCAAAGTATGGAAACCTGTCACGCTGAATCCTCAATGTTCTGGCAGGGCAGTACAGATAAGATCAACGAAGAGATCCAAGAGGTCAGTATCTTGGAAAAGCAGCTTCTACTAGCAGCAAGAGCTTTCGTAGTTCGGCTTGGTTTTGCCTCTTGCTGACAATGCCAGGGCAAGAGGATGTGCTAAAGAGCCCTTTCTGTTCTCATCTCTTCCTGGCAGGGGCTTCAGCAGGAAAGCCGCCCAAGCAGCGGTTGCAGCAACCCTGGACTTGACCAGGCAGTTCTTTGCACTTGTAAAACTTTGCACGTCTTTGCTCCTGCTTGGAAGCTGCTTCTAAAGTTTCAGTTCAGAGGAGGAAGCCATGTCAGAGACGCTTTCTCCCGATGCTTTGGATCCCTTTCACTTGCACCAGATCCCTTCACCAAGATACTCTAGATTCTAGATGAGGAGCAACTGCAAGCAAAACCACCCAAGAACCTTACCCGCAAAACGATCAGATTCTAGCCATAAAGCGAACCAGGCTCGGTAGCGACAGGCTGATCCACCCATGCATCGTCACATTGTTTATTTGTGACCAACTCTTTGCAACTCACTGTTTGAGTCGCGGCCAGAGTTCGAACACAGGAGGTGGGTAGGACGGAGACAAAGCCAGCACAGAAAGCCAAAGCCCCTTCAGAAAAAGCACTCGACAAAATCTGAAAGGGGTGCTAGCATAGACCGATGACAGTGGCCCACTGCGCTTGCAGCGAAGGAAGGTGGGATCACCTTCTTTGGACCCTCAAGAACCGATCCAAACATATGCAAAGTAGCAACCTTGGACCAGTATGATTAGAGAAAAAAGGCTGCAGAATGCAACCATATAGCTCAAAAGGAATTGAAGCGCAATGCAAAGCTAGAGAGCAACCATGACTGACACAAACTGAGAGCGAGCAGATTGGTGCTGATGTAGCTTCTACTGCACCTTGCACCTTTACATCAACTAGAGCATGCATCCAAGAATATCAGAGCAAGCTGAGCCAAAGGTGGACTAGCACAACCCATACGAACAAGAAATATTCCAACCTTCTTCAAAGGGCAAGTACCTACATAACACTTGTGGGTTGGCTCTTCACTAGTTTGGAGGTCAGCAGTTGTCCCTTTACACCCAAACCAGATGCACAAAAGTTCAGAAGCCAACATGGTTCTGCTGATCAGGATACACGGGGAGTGCTGCACATGATGAATGCAGCAAACCATGAGCAGCAATGGCCTTAGCGGATGACTTCATTGAAAGTGCTCAAATTGGCTCAAATAGCTCCAGTAGAAGAAATTGAATACAGATCTTGAGATGCAGCAATTGAATGGCTCTGAGCCGCTCTGCTAAAGTACGCCAGGCTCTCCTGGCTTCGGCAGTCTTTGACGAGTCAATTTGAGCAGAGGGTCGGCCTTCCGCATGTGGCACTTTGCCTGGAATGGGCTTTGTGATTCTGTGTCTCAAGCTGTAGGAAGATTGAATTTGCATGAAGCGTTGCCTGATTGACCAAGATGCTATCGTGTTACCGCTTGCCATGTTGCTCAAGCCGGCTTATGCGGCCTGATCACAGCTCTGGTCAGAGGCCAACCTTGCTTCTCTTTGATTGCTTGCCAAATCTTGCTCCCCTTGGTATAACAGCTGCTGGTAGGCATGAGCGAGCCAGAAGAAAGCCAGGAGGTCAGTGCAATCAGGACACAAGAAGGAATCTTGCCACAAACGGTGTAACGTAGCTCGTCCAGTGGTTCTGATAAACGAGCTTTTACTTTGCTCAGACGCCATGCAGGCGACGGTGCCTGATGATCTTGTGCCACAGCAGGCTCCCGAGTTTATAGCCAAGAACTCAGCAAAAAAAGCGGCTGCACCCCTGACGAGTTCGCAACTCTTTGTTTTCACTTTAGAGTTCAGATTCAAAATGTGATTCAAATGAGTATGAGTCACAGACTGGTTTTAGACAGAGTAGTCGGTCATAGAGTCATTCAGGAGACGATCAGGAGATGTAATGAGACTCTGTGGCCTGGCTTCTTAGGCCGACCTCCAAAAGGAGCGGACAGACTTTGGGATGCAGATGCAGACTGTGAAACCTCAAGGCCGGGTCACATCACAAGTCTAATCGACATAGGGATGTTGGAAGATGTTGGTATATGTTGGCATGTGTGTCCATAGGCATGTGACAGTTCAACACATGCCATGCTTCAGGCGAAGGCACATTGGTAAAGTCAATTTCCGTGAAGCTCTTGGAGTGTCAAATAGCTCCACTTGCTGTACGCAGATTTGACACAGGTCCTGACATACAGTGTATCTTTCGGAGATGTGGGAGGGTTGAATCTTGCTGACCTGAGATTCAGGAGCTTTAGCTGTCTTGATCACAACGATCCGAGGCTCCTACACTTCGGAAGAAGAAAGTTGCCAGGACACTTTGCTCTGAGTTGCATTGAAGTAGGTATGAGCTGCAGTGAGATGTGCCTTTTGAATCTTTTCATCGCCATTTGGAAAAAAATCAAGCAGGAGTCCCTTGAGATGTCCACCTCCATGGAACAAGCCATTGACGGACAAATGGGGATTTCCCAAGTCAGTGGAGAGTCCTCCACCAGCCCAGATCTTAGCACTTGCTTCTGGTGAATGCAGACCCCAATGTGATTCAAATTCCCTTGCTGATATGTGTTACATGTATATATACAATGTAATATACATAAATTATAAATAGATACATGATTCATATATATATATATACATTATAGAATATGTATAGATATTGCGCTGGAGATGCGGAGCTTTAGTTCATGACTTTCGAATCTGCAAAGGCCGAACCGTGGGATGTCAGGCCTGAGCTGTGGCATGAAAATTTCCTGAAGCAGTTCATACACTGTGGCCTGCCAGGCATCATCTCAAGGGTATGCCAAATGATGTAATTCCGAAGGCTGCGGGTGCCACACCTGAAAATTGACACCTGAAGTTTAAACTTCTCTTTCCAAATTTTGACTTTAAGCCTGCCATCTACAGACACTGTATATACATGACCGTATTGCGTCTACTTGTACAGTATGGTGTGCTTTTCCCGTGTTTCTTCAGCCTTATTTCTATGGAAGTAAAGCTTAGCTTCACAGAGAGCATCGGTTGAATAAACAACATTTCATTGAGTGATTACTACCAGTAAGTGCCAGTAAGCATCTGGATCTGGATTTCATGTTTTTTCGATACTTTTAGGCAAGCGTGTGCGGTATTGCAGTGTAGATGATATGAGCCCCTCTTTGTTTTTGGTGAAACATGTCAAACCTTGACAGGATAGGCGGACATACTTCTCCAAGCCTCAATCATTGGCTGAGCTTCAAGCCGAGTTGACAAACAACCCAGCGCCATGTTCTCAGATGCTTTGGGCACCAAAAGCAAGGCACAAGTCCTTCTTTGCTTCACCAATTCATCGCAATTCCTGATACTTTGCAGACTTTTGAGGCATGCCAGCATGTTGAAGCGAATCGAATCTGGTGACTTGCCAGGAAGACCGAGGCAGACATGCACATGAAACGTGCATATCATGAAATTGAAACCTTTGAAACTATTTGATACCAACATCGACTTATGCCGGCAATGCCAGCAATGCCAGCAAGACTCGTCTGCTTGTGCGATGGAATTCTCTTGCCACTGGCATTGCTGGCGTTGTGTCAGATCGATTATTAGCTGCGATGCTGGAGCTCCAGTGTGTCCAGAGCGGCATGTATTTGGAGGCACCATGCAGGAGACTTGGGAACTAAAAGCTCGAGGAAAAACAGCTTCAGAGATTTCCATTTCAGAGTGACAGGAGTGCATATTTTCAGTGCTAAAACTATTTGCCAAGGCTAGATCGTGATGGCATGGGGCGAACTTGGAATAACCGCTGGCACACAGGTGCCAAGAGATCCTCAGCGGTTTTGAAGTACAAACATCTCTTCCAATTGCCAGCGTTTTGACTTTGGTTCTCAGGCATAGCAATTCTCAATGAGCATTGTCATCCGTCACGGGCTCAGTGGCCACATTGTTTGGCATTCAGTGGCATTCAGTTGATTTGCTCTGCTTTGCCGCTTTGCCCTGAGGGATCACCGGACGTACTTTACTCAACGCTCCATTTTCGAGAGATCGCCGTCCCAAGTCTACAGAAGATTCCTTCACCAAGCAAAACCGGCGTGCTTGTGATGCTTGTGATGGCTTGTGCGTGACACCTCTTGACAATGAGGGCTTCGAGACTTGTCAAGCGCGAGACATGGCAGGAAAGGAGACCTGGCGAATGGGTTTCCATTGATCAGAGAAGGCCAGCTCCTTTCATTGCCTCAATGAAATCAGGTTGTGACCGTTGTGACCGGTTTTGGTCTTCAAATCCAGATTTGGAGATGTTTCATAGCACTCCATTCAAAACTGAAGCTTTTGCAAGCGAGGCCAGATAGGTTTCCTCCATTGGGAGGTTATCTGACAGGTCGCCGGGGCCTTTTGCTCTACTCTTTTGCTCTACTCTTGATATTGCATACTGTTTCATTTTGCACGGCATGTTCTTTAAAAACGTCATAGGATGTCCTAGCCTTCGCATTTTCATGCACTCCCCGGTGATTTTCTTCAAGTACTGCAACCGTTCTGCAACAATTCTGCAATAAGGATCCGGGGCACCGATACCTGGTGCTACACCATGACCGGGGCCTGAACTTTTTTTTTTGAGATGTAGCCCAGAAGAAAATCAAAATCAATATATATTTAAAAAATAAAGTTCAAAACCTTGTTGGCAAATTGAGCTCGAAAATTTGATCTCGGTGCACATCCTCCTGGAGCTTTTCAGGTGAAGCCTGAAAGGCTCCATGTATGTAGTGTCATGTAGTGTCAATGTGCCTCAAGAGGTAAAGCCTGGGAATGTTGGCACAAGACCAAATTGAAAATGCTTGCGACCAATCGTTGCGTTGGCGATTGGAAATTGCATTGGTTACACTGGTTGAATCCTGTTGGGTTTGCTCTCCTGCTTTGGTGCTGCCCCAGCTTAGGATTACAGCGAGTGACGCTCATCACGTGGACTCATTGCTTTGGGAGGGTTAGTTCTTGCTGTTCTTGGTCTGTGCAGGTGCAGAGTGCGGGATCAGGGCTCCCTCCGCAACCAAACCGCTCAAGCAGGTGAGGTCAGTGAGGTCAGTATGGTTTCTGCATTGCTTCAGGTACAGAATCATAGTCCGGTGGTGATGCTTTCGACTGGCAAAGACTTTCTGATTAATGTCTCAACCTGCCAGGCCAACTTCGGCTTCTTTGACTTCGATAGCAGACGCCATTCAGGTTGCAATCAGAGTTGCTATGCGTGCATTGACCTCGTTAATTCGCATATGCAGAAGCAAAAGTAAGATCTTTGGCCTCTTTGGCTAGGAAGAGAATGCTCGAGTGAAGCAGCTGAGTGAAACCCTTGAGGAGGCTGGTCCCCTTGCTTTAAGCACAGGAAGGAAGCGCGAATCAATAGGGAGCAATCTCACAGTGTCTTTGTTCATGTTATAGTTTTGCTAGCCACAGTTTATGATTTGCAAAAGGCCGTTGCAAGTGCTGCAAGCAGGCCTGGTGTGATCTGGTTTGCTCTTTTTTCTCTTCTTTTGTTAGGGTTTTTCTTTCACGAAACCTGAGGCCAGGTGACTTCACTTCGGGAGGATCGCGACCTTCGTCGAGGCAGATGGGCAAGACACGTCTATGATCATGGTATATCGATGCATATCGTGCGTTGTCCTGGCATTGGAACCATTTCAAGCCTTCCTCGTGTGCCTCCTGTGCCTCGTGATCGTTACCTGCCACAGCTGCCACAGATCATCTCGAAGCAGACTTCCACTCGGACCAGAGGCAGGGCAGGGGTCAGAACTTTGATCGCAACAGCGCAACAGCGCCACAGGACCTAGAGGCCTCAACCACGGAAAGGGCCCTTTCAAGACAGAGCAAGATGCAGTGAAGTTGTTCACTGTGTTGTAAAATGGCTCGCTCTTGTTCTTTACTACTACAGTTACTACACTATGCTAATGCAAACTATTTCTGTGCCTCGACTCAACTTGTGGATTTGGCTTGTCAGGAAGCTGCACAAGCCGCACCTCCATCAGTCATTGCAAAGGCTTTCTGGGTGTCAAAGGAGTGAATGGAGCATGGACAAAGGGTAGGATCACACTGGCAACTTTGCTTGCTTTCAAGTAATCATTTTTCACTCAGTTTAGAAATCCTTTGAAGTTGAAGATCACCACATGTGTTTCAAGTCTGCTTGGTGAGTGGAGTTCTTCCACTGAAGGCCTTGGAAATTGGATGTTTTCCAGTCCTAGTCCGGGTGGATTTGCTTGAGGGATCCAGTTCCAAGTCACAAGGATCTGATTGTAATTTTTGTGGAACAAATACGAGAAACATCAAGAAACAGCTGAGATGTGCATGTAGCAGATTAGTAGATTCTGCAAGGCAAGAGTCTCCCGGCACAGCATGTTTAAGCAATTAGGGCTCAAACAGTTGCAGGATCATTCTTGAGAAACCATGGAGAGGAAACAGCGCGAGAAGACTAGCGCTGATTTCCGAAAGAAGAGGGCATTCACGGCAAGGTATTTGGAAACAGTTTGGCCTAGGAGCTATTGGAACACTGGACCGGTGCGACATGCACCACGATGCTGCCGGCCGCGCTTGCCACCCACAGACAAGGATCGTCCTCGCAAGGTTCAAATCGCATGGGATGCCAAATCCGACTCTGACAGGTCCGACAAATCCGAGGCGAGTCAGGCGAGTCGGGAGAGTCAGGAGAGCCCTTCCGTCCATTCCATCCAGTCCGCAGCACAGACGGCACCTTCCAACGAATTGCCGTGGCACCAAGAGTGGCAGCGGCGGTATTCGTGTCGCTGCACGGATGACATGATTTCCAAGGACCAAAAGAGACAAGCAGTTTACAACAAAATGCAGGAGATCGGATCCACAAAACTCGTCCTGGCCCAGCTGAAAGGATCATCAACCTACAAATTTGCGGATGTGGGAGACACAAGCAACCTGCAGTGAGAGTCGCCGACCGGCACAGAATTCTGGCTGCAGTACGGAAGCCATGAAAACAGTGGCGCCGTAGTGAATGTGCCTGCTGCACTGCTACAGCACAGCTACCATTTTGTGGCCACCAGGTCATTTTTTTCACTCCTTTCCTGTACAGTGGCGGCTGACATGAGAGGAACCATTGTGTCATGCCTGCCAATTATAGATTCTGTCTTGGGTGTCTCCCTGGCCTTACAAAAGCCAACAGGGTCAACAGGCAGATTCGACATTTGCTTTGATTTCTTGACATGAACCACGACCTACTCTCATTGATCGTCCACGAAGTCACTATTGCTGGACTAGGGATACGCCGAAGAAAGTCACATCGGTGTTTCACCGTTGGAAACAAGCTTCATCCATCTTCATCCATTCGGCCACTTGGATCCAAAAAGAAAGGGGCTTGCGAAGCAAGAGGAGAACCTACTCTGCGTGTCACCAAGCATATTTTTTTTGGCGATCCGGCAATCCTTTTGATAAAGTAGTTTTTTTTTGACGACCTACAGTCTACAGTATCTTTCCAGATACGTACACCTGGTTACTACCTCAAGTACCTCAGTTCCTTTAGAGATCCCTCATTTGGTCCTTATCGTTTGCATGGTCCTTCCGACTCCAATCTAGCCTGGCATGAGTAGCTCTTACAGGAAACTGCAAATTATCAAGCACTCACAGGAACAACGGCATCAATTGGCATTCATTTTCTTAGCTACTTTGGCTTGAGAGTACGAAGCAAAACTGGACCTCATGTTTGATGTATGGATTTTAGCTATTTTCAGAGTTGTGGAAGTGTTCTTGCAATAAGGGATGTATGCGGTACGAAGATAGCCATTTGTCGTCAATTCCATGAATGGTTTCTCGAAGCCAACCATTCATTTGATGGCATTGGGCATGACTTTTGTTTTGCATGTCTTGATGATATAGCGAATTCATGTACCATGACTACTATATCTACAAGGACCATCTATGTCTATGACCATCTATGACCATGAAAATGCAGCAGGAGGTACCCTTTTGTCCCCATTGTTGCCTTCTCCATGCAGGTGCAGGCCCCACCAATTGCTGCTTCCATTGGTGGTAGTGCTGGCTATCCAGGCAGATCTTGCGTCCTGATGTCACTCCACGAATCTCAGAGTTTGGCGCTTTGGTTCCAAGGACTGGGACCCATTCAGCAACCACAACCGATTGCAGAGACTCAGCTGCAAGATGCTGCAAGTTCTCCGGTGTTTTTGACATCTTCGACACGACATTTTGAGCACCTCTTTGTGCAAACAACAAAAAAAGGTGACGGCTTTATGTTTCGCAGTCGCACCGGTTGCTGAGGCAGAGCCAAGGCCTTGATCATTGCTTCATCTTTGAATATCTTTGATATATTCAATATTTTATCTGATTGTTCAATTATTGCGTTCCTCCACAATGTACAGTGTCAGACTCGGGTGTTGATTCTCTGAAGTCAGTCTCCTGGGATCCTCTTTCCTCTGTTGGCCTTATCATGTAGTCACACACTCACAGTTCAAAGCGGGGTCGAAAAGCAATCGTGCCATCAACGACATGTCAACGACATATCAATACATAACACACGCACACACAAGAATAGTCTGGCTGGGTCACTTGAAAGCGCTCTTCCAACTGTCGAAGATGAGAACACTTTGGCAGTGTATTGACCGTGCTGACTTGAGATCTGAATGTTAGGAGCAGAGTCGGTTCGGTCCTGGATCCAGCCTTTACCTTCTACCTCTGGGATGAATGTGTTGTGTGCTCCTGGATAGCGTCTTTCCAGCTGCTTTGTCGAGTGATCCTTTCATTCTTCTGGTGGGTGTTTGCTTCAGGTAGCCTACCTAGAATCCTTTTGCCCTTCTGTCCCATTTTCCTCTAATGATTCTGCAGCATTTCTGTCTGCGTGCACACCCTGCAAGGCAGAGCAGTGCAGCTCACTCAGTTTTTCCTAGACGACACATGTTTGTGAGACAAGGCGCCAAATGGCAAAAATAGCTCATGTGAACTATGTCTTTCTTCAGGCGGTGACTCCTTCCGCGGATGTGCGCGGTTTCCCTGAAGAAATCTTTGATCGTGCCAGCCTCCAAGATCCTCCAAGATCCATGAAGCTTCCGTCTTTCTCACAGTGTTTTCAGAGCTGGATGTACAGGTCAGCCGACTGGATCAAAGGAAGCAGAAGGCCCTGCTCAAAGTCTTGGAATCTTTGGAGGCGCTGGAGTTTGGGCGGGGACTGAAGCTGTGCATTTTGATATTTTTACGCTCTGGGTTTGACACAGCTTCATGTTGCAAGATGCCTTTTTGACAGGCAGATCATCCAATCTCTGTGCCTGCAGCCCCGCCTGCAGCCCTGCCTGCGCCACCGCAGCGGGATTCGCAACCAGCACAGGATTGCTTGGTCTTGGGATATGTTGGAATGCCAGGGACGGTCTCTGGATACCTTTGGCTTCGTTTCAGCCTTCAGTTTTGCTCGAACAGAAAACCTGAGGCAAAGCTGACACATCGCACTCTCTATTAGTTTTGTAGGGATTTTCCATACGGCTTGGTGAAATTCAACTCTCAATTTGTCTCAGCACGCGTAACATGACAAAGCACATGTAGGCTTTGGATCTCTGCTTGAGGGTGACTTCAAACTGGGGTGACAGCAGGCCAGGGAAGTATACTTGTGCTGGGTCGCACTGAATTAGAACATCTTCTCGACAAGGGGCACACCAGCTTTTACATGTGCTTCTTCTGGCTTCATTGGAATCTTAGCCTCCTTGAAGACACCTGTGTATTCTTCCATTTGACTCCATTAATACTAGTCATTAAAACTTAAGACAGAGCTGGGTTGCCTGGTGACTTCCTGGACTGGAAGAGCGGACTTGCAGCTGAGGCAGTGCGGACTCTCACTGATTGAAGCTTTGGACTCTGAAGCCGAGGCAAATACAAGACCAAAGACGAGAAAGATGAGTGCAGAACAAGACATTGCTTCATACTCCAAGTATTGCTTCTTCAGTCATTTAATTTGCATATGTTTATTTTTGCGGTAGAGAACTGTGACAGCAAGTGGAGTTGGAATCAAGAACCCAGACTTTCATTTTCCAAAGGTGATCAAAATTCCCCCTGCTGCGCTATCTCTTCATGGTGCGCTACAAGGATCAACAACACTGGCTCGAGTACGACCTCAGCATGTCACTCGCTCTGAAGTCAACGAATTTCGCATTGACTTCGCAAGGTTGTTGAGGGGAAGCCTAACTCTCAAAAGCCACTGCTACAAACTCAGCGAGCTAAGCTTGCAGCGAGGGGTAAATCTTTCAGACTTTAAGCTTTTGCATGAAATGATGAGGTGGCTGGCAACAGTGTGTGGCAGCCTCAGCATTGCTAGGAGTACAAACCAAGTACAAGCCAACATGACCTGATCTGATGAGATTGCAATACAACTTTTTTTGGCAATTCTGGGAATTTGTATTGGCTGAGGCCAAAGAGCACATGGAGATGGATTTGAACCAATTGATCTGAAGCTCAATCTGCCGAGGCTCTTCTTGTTCTTGTGTTCCATTTATGAAGATCAAACTATTAGACCTCTTAGACAATCTTAGACATGTATTTCTGCCGGCCAACCCTTACACCTGACATGCCTGCAACAAGTACACCTTGTTTTTCTGAAGCTATAGTGAAAAATGCGAGCTTGTGTGCTTCAGGTTCAAGAATTATTACATAGGAATGTTTGAGAGCAGCGGCAGCAATCAGATACGGACATGATCGGACATGCATTTATTTTCCCATTGTAAGTAAGTCTCTTGCCCGCAACAAAAGCAATATAAGCTAGTTTGGAGTTTGGGTTGCTGTTCTGCTGCATCAGTTGCATGCTTATGGCATAAGCCTGACAGTATGGTTGTGAGAAGACCGTGGCAGAATGTGACACAGCCAACCGAAAACGAAGAACTCTTTTTTCTGCACGTTGCGCTTGGTCTGCAGTACCCGCGTGGCTGCTTTGCGGATCTGGAATTTCAACTCCCAAGATGGGCTCGCAAAAGGAGTTCGGGATATCGAGGCAAAGGTCTATTAATCTCTCATTTTGTTTTGTGGTTTGTGCTGCCAACGCTCCTATGCTCTTGCTGTTTCACTTTGGGAAGTTACTCTTGCACACGAGGTTTGCCAGGGGAATGCGCAGATTTGGTGGAGATCTCAGCAATCATGAGATCACAACCACGCAAGGATGTTTGAGTATTTGTCTGAATTTCACAGAATATCTATTTGACAGAGGACCGGCCAACTGCCCATGGGCAACGGTGGAGCCGTGGTACCCATCTTGGTTCCGATCAGTCCAGGCTGCGGGTTTTGAAAGTCAACTTCTTCCTTCGTTGCGCACTCCCATGCCTTCAGTGGCTAACACGTAGGATCGCACGCGGGGCATTGTCGGAAGCCTTTCTCTGTTTTGTCAAATCTGCAAGCCAGTTGAGACCTTTCTTTACACTTGTGGGAGGTTTTTCAGAAGACTTGGCTTTGGCCAGATTCAAGGAGACGCTGCCTTCAAAAGCAGAGCAACAAACCAAAAGATGCTGCGGACATTTTGTGCCCAGGATGAAACAAAGTCATCCTCGATTCTGCAACAGGACTTCGAGCAGAGTGTCCTTAAGCCTAAACAGCTGGATGTTTGACGATGTGCAATGTGGACAATGCGGGCAATGGGTCAAGATCGACTCCTGGACCCAGCTAAGGATCGGCCCTTTTGGCTTATGCATGAACAACAGAGGCGCCTTGGTACCTTTCGGTACTTTGCAACAATTTTGATGTCACCTTCTGTCATCCAAACTCTGACTTTGGTCTGTTTGGTCTGTTTGGTCTGTTTCAGTCAGATCTTCAAAAACAAATGGCTGCAGGCAAGTCGATGCTCAAGGCAGGGGTCGCCGACTTTAGCGTTGGCTTCATTGCAATGACTCCATGGGTGGCCAAGGCTGGGCGCAAATGAGATCGTCTAGTCCCCAGTTTTACAGACTGTTGGAATATCCAGTCTTTAGATCGTCGAGTCCATGATTTGGATATTTTGGACACAGCTTAAAGATGCAACGCCAAGTCATCCACGACTCGAAGATGAGCAAGAAGAGTTGCTGTGGAGCTCTGAGACCTCTAAGATCCTCTAAGAATCTAAGACTCAAGATCTATTTTCACTTCAGCCGAGTGAGCAGGGCTTGCAAAAGATAGGAATTCGGAATGACGTTGTTAGAAAAAAAGAGCAGTAGAGCTGGCTTAGCTGGAATATCAACAGTTTGAGGCAGTCGTTACAAGCCCTGGAGCTTTTTCGCTCTTCACAGAGCAGAAGGCGGGGAATCTGTCTTCCTGACCAAACCTGTCTAAGCTGTCCGATAAGAAGTTCCAGAATAATAGAGACGGATATTTGTCAAGAGTCAAGATTGAAGAGCCCTCATACATCCTCATACAAGCATTTTGAAAGAAGCAATGCTCAATATCAGCAAGTCTCACCCACTTGTACAGCACATTTTCCTGTTGTGATTGCTGTAATGACGTAAATGAACGACAATGTCTATGGCTTGACAGTACGACTTTCCTTTTATTGAGCGCAAGTGACAAAGTTGATTCCTGAGTCTCAGAGAAGACCCTTCCTAAAAAGACCTGCCTGCACTTCCGACTCTCACTGCTCAACTATGAATTGCAACCGCTCTGCGTTTTTACGTCCAATGCTGTCGTCCGTTATGTAACTTTGATATCATCCTGACGGCATCTTGGACAGACAAGGGTTGATGAGATGCAAGGAACACCGCGGCTGCTAATGAAAGCCAGTCTTCTGACCTGGCTACAAGTTTATGCCAGCGGACCGAGAACCGTCCTCGTAAAACTAACGTTTTTTAGACACATAAACCGCAGTGCCAAGTTGCATCAGAAGACGATTGAAGCATTGAAACGCATCTTCTGACGAAACACATGTTTTTTTTTCAGACTCCACAAAAACCCTCCGATGAAAATGAGCTGTTATTGTGGTAAAATGCGAAAACGGCCAAATTTTGGTATATATATATATCTATTTTTTGGATGTTTTCATGAAAGAATTTTGCGTTTCGCCACAGTGCCACTCATTTTTTGATAAAAAAACGTGCTTTTACGAGCACGGTTTTTGGTCCGGCGGGAAGTTTATGTCTTCACTTGATGGTGCCCGACCTCTTCCAATGTGTGTCTGTAAGCTTGAAAAATGAATGATGGGATTTTGCATTGGTCTTATATTATATGATATTAATAAAATGGGCTAGCGCCCAGGTGCCGCCGACCCCCCTAATTGGAGGGGGGGGTACTGTAGAGAGACAGAGGGAGACGGACAGCAAGACAGACATATGGCCGTTTGCTTCTCAAGCAGCGAGAAGTTGCACCCTGCGGCCAAATGGACACGGATCAGCTTGAACTCCGCCAGGTGCGCAAGGGTGAGGCAGTGGCTGTGTTGGCTACCTGACAGCTTGTTGATGATTAATCATTTTTTGATGAGGGGTCATCAATGGTAATGATATATCCACATACAATAAGATATGGTCAAAGCAATCAACCTGGGGAGTATGATGTAGCACATGATCCCACATATATATATACACATAATATGTACATATATATATATGCGTATGTTCCGGTGGCATGTTGGATTGGATTAATACGTGTTCCGCTGAAGGTCTAGTCGAGAATGTTAGGGATTATATGAGTCAGTTGACGTGCATCCCAGGGAATTGGTGTTTTTTGGCGCCGTTGGGTTAGGATGAAGTGATTTTTAAGTTTGGAACAAACTATAACAAGTGGGCCATTCCTGATGGCTATGGTAAAGGACTGGAGGGTACCGACGTGTTTTGCAAAGTCGTGGTTTGGCTTTTGGACATGTGACACCCCATGGAAACTGTTGCTGTTTTCAATTGGAACGGATGAGATTCTTGCCTGGGATTGAAACGGACGGTGGAGAAACGACAGAATTTTTAAAGTGCTTTCCAATTGCGAAGCCAAGATGGGTCCTGCAGCACACTTGCTAGTGAACGAGGCCTCATTGTCAAGTACAAGCAACGAACATGGGCAGGCAGATCACGGAGCGGTGTGAAGAAAAGAATTGGTCAGCATTGAGAGAGGAAAGTGTTATCACAAGACATCATCTTTGCTAGGTGGTATTATTGCCAACTTGGTCTATGCGGGCCGGAACATGGTGCGTGCCAACCAATCAGTGGACGTGCTGAGGCGAGTTCAACAGCAGCGGCAAACGATTCTTGCCCACCAAGCGCTTGAAGAGTGGCGAAGTGCACAGGTACAACAGAGACCTTCAAGCATACACTTTAGCTGATTCTGGGTTTTTGAAAGATTAATTTGCTGCTCTTCCCGTAAGGTTTCTGTCGCGGGCAACCTGGGCCAGTCATTTATAGTTGGGTTTGCGCAAAGTCCTTCCAACAAACCATGGCCGAGGAGATTTTTAGGGGACATGATGGCGGAGGGCGTGTTTTGGATGTCAGTTGGACCAATGTCATGCAGCTACTGTCAGGACGTTGTAGGGGCGCTGGTGGCATGGGTCCATGATTCGGACGAGATTTGGTCTGTCAACACCAGCGCCAATGTGGAGGCGGGCAGTCAAGGGTGTAGCAGTCGAGTGTTGCGAGCATGGGTGCGAAAGAGTGTTGCCATGTAATGATTTGACTGTCAGAGGCGACACTGAAAGTTGATGTTGCAGGGCTGAGCTTGCCAGATGTCGGTCACATGTGCAGTGGTCCGTCGCCAGGGCGGCCAGATTCAAGATTTGGTGGAGAAGTCATGCTTCAAGAAGGGGAAATACGTGGTACTCCCACACATTGTCGCTGGGTTGGCCGTGATTGGCCTTTGCAGTCATGACCAAACGTGGCTTCTCGATGTGCCTTGTGCATTGAGTGTTCGTTGTAATGTCGGAGATTGTTGGATGAGGCCTTAAGGTTTCTAAAGGTGGCAGACGGCGGAGCTGGGGGGACCTTTGGAGGGTTTGGAGGGTTTGAGGCCTGGCAAACGGCAGCCTTGAACGCCTATAAGAAGCCATTGCTGCGGCCGTGGGGTGCTCTTGAGCCTGTGGCCTTGTGGTGGCTTTTGCCTGCGGGCGTGGCGCGTGTTGAGCTTGTTGGGGTACCTTTTGCCTGCGGAGTTGGGCGGACTTTTGGAGGATTTGGAGGGTTTGGAGGGTTTGAGGCCTGGCAAACGGCAGCCTGAAACGCCTATAAGAAGCCATTGCTGCGGCCGTGGGGTGCCCTTGAGCCATTGCTGTGGCCTTGTGGTGGCTTTTGCCTGCGGGTGCTCTTGAGCCTGTGGGGTTGTGGTGGCTTTTGCCTGCGGGCGTGGCGCGTGTTGGGCTTGTTGGGGTACCTTTTGCCTGCGGAGTTGGGCGGACTTTTGGAGGTTTGGAGGGTTTGAGGCCTGGCAAACGGCAGCCTGAAACGCCTATAAGAAGCCATTGCTGCGGCCGTGGGGTGCCCTTGAGCCATTGCTGTGGCCTTGTGGTGGCTTTTGCCTGCGGGCGTGGCGCGTGTTGGGCTTGTTGGGGTACCTTTTCCCTGCGGAGCTGGGCGGACTTTTGGAGGGTTTGGAGGGTTTGAGGCCTGGCAAACGGCAGCCTTGAACGCCTATAAGAGGCCCTTATAGCCATTGCTGCGGCCGGGGGGTGCCCTTCAGCCATTGCTGTGGCCTTGTGGTGGCTTTTGCGTGCGGGAGTGGCGCGTGTTGGGCTTGTTGGGGTACCTTTTCCCTGCGGAGCTGGGCGGACTTTTGGAGGGTTTGGAGGGTTTGAGGCCTGGCAAACGCCAGCCTTGAACGCCTATAAGAAGCCATTGCTGCGGCCGGGGGGTGCCCTTCAGCCATTGCTGTGGCCTTGTGGTGGCTTTTGCGTGCGGGAGTGGCGCGTGTTGGGCTTGTTGGGGTACCTTGTCCCTGCGGAGCTGGGCGGACTTTTGGAGGGTTTGGAGGGTTTGAGGCCTGGCAAACGGCAGCCTTGAACGCCTATAAGAGGCCCTTATAGCCATTGCTGCGGCCGGGGGGTGCCCTTCAGCCATTGCTGTGGCCTTGTGGTGGCTTTTGCGTGCGGGAGTGGCGCGTGTTGTGCTTGTTGGGGTACCTTTTCCCTGCGGAGCTGGGCGGACTTTTGGAGGGTTTGGAGGGTTTGAGGCCTGGCAAACGGCAGCCTTGAACGCCTATAAGAAGCCATTGCTGCGGCCGGGGGGTGCTCTTGAGCCATTGCTGTGGCCTTGTGGTGGCTTTTGCCTGCGGGCGTGGCGCGGTTGGGCTTATTGGGGTGCGGAGTTGGGCAAACTTTTGGAGGAGTTGGTTTGAGGCCTGGCAAACGGCAGCCTTGAACGCCTATAAAAGAAGCCATTGCTGCGGCCGTGGGGTGCTCTTGAGCCATTGCTGTGGCCTTGTGGTGGCTTTTGCCTGCAGCGTTGGGCGTGGCAAGGGTTCAAGAAAGACAGGATCCACACCTCCGGTGGTCCCAGGCGCCGCCCCGGCTTTGGCGAAGGCCGGGGTCGGCGGATATTATCATTTTTGTGGAAAGGACTTGGTGTCGCTACTGAGTCAGTCATGAATAACAAGAACCTCGAATGGCACTTGGTTTGCGTGGTGCGATGCCTTGCACACTCGCAGGTTTTTTTCTGACCGACGATACAGTGAATGTGAGGCCTGATGGGCATGATTGACGTGATGGGCATCGCGAGCATGATGGGCATGCAGTTTAGCTCCTGGTAAAGTAAGTCACAGTAAGTCCTTCTGACCCACAGCATAGTCCCTTCTAAGTCTTGGAGGAGTCCCAGCAAGGTCTGGAGCCATGGCCTTAGTGTCAGACGAGCTTTGAGGGCTTTGAGGGCAATTTGTTTGCTTTCTCCTTTAAGTTTAATATATTTTAATATAACGTAGTTCATAATATTAGACATACAGGGTCTTATGATTACAATGCCTAAAATGACAACACCAAGGCGCTAATGATGATAGTGATTTTGATGACAGAGATGACATTGATGACCAGGATGATATGATTCTGGCCACCATTGCCATCATAGTCATTAGAAACAACATGACTTGATGCGTCATTCCCATGCTGTCAGCATGTGCACACTGCCACCATTTCTGATGGGACTGGCGCATGGGCCATGCGTTCTTTCAGACGGTATATAAGATTTTGCTCACGATTCAACATACACTAGTTGCTTACTCCCTTTCAAGCTGGTGCATTCTTGGGAGTCAGCATTTTCACCGCGTCTCCAGACTTGTATCTTTTCTTTGGCTGCTCGTATCAATACTCATCTCTCACTTGTGTTCTTGCTTCCCTGTCTTGGGACAGAAGATTCTCCTTGTCTCCCATTTGTGCCTCCATTTGTTTCCCGACTGGTGGCCGCCGTCTATTATTCACGTCGCTTCGCGACGGCAACCGCCCGCACCGCATCGTTGGGCAGCCGCTCGTAACTGCCAATGATGTCGGCCATTGAGACCAAAAACATCCGAAAGTACTGATTGTCGGAAAAAAAAACGCGAAGAATTTGATAGCCATGTATAGCGGACCAACGCAGTTCAAAAAATAACGAAAAACATGAAAAAACGGCGAAATTGCTGTTATTTACAGTGTTTTTGCGCGGTGAGAAGCAGAAACCACTGCAAATACCATGGTTTTTGAGGGTCAGGTGGCCAAAAACACTGTAATTTACAGTGTTTTTTTTAACCAACGTCAAAAAACACTGGTATTTACGATGTTTTCATTCACACCGTAACATAAAACAGCGTAATTTACGAGGTTTTTGGAAGTTTTGAAGCTAGCCGTCAAGCATGCAGAAAACAGAAAAACATTGTAAAAACCAGTGTTTCTGCTATCACAAAACGACGAAAATCAGTCCGAAAACGGGTCCAAAAACTCAAAAATCCGCCTCCGGGCCCGGCCACCTGCGGAACCGCAAAAAAAGATGTTGCAAACCAAAAAATTGAGGTCAAAAAGTTGAAAAACACGGGGTTTTTCACTTTTCGCTTGCCGATTTTGGACGGGCGCGTTCACGAACAGGTGTCTTCCGTACTGTTTTTTACAGTGTTTTTTGAAGGCGAGCGTCACGACCTATCAAAAACAGGAGGTTTTGGCCGAAAAATGCCCCCCCCCCCCAGGTAAACCTGTAACCTTTTACGAGTGCCATCCGGAAGATCACGCCCCAGCACCTTCGGTGCGGGCGGATTTCAGGGAACTTCCTGTCTAGGTGGCTATCCCAAAGTTGCTCCTACTGTATTCCATTGTATTTCCTTTGAAATTTGAGACTTTCTGCTTGGGCTTGACGCAGGGATCATCGATGCAATTCTTTGACATGTTTCGAGGCCTGCTCCACCAGCTCCATCTCCTATCCCCACACAGATGGATGAGGCATGGCATCGCTTTTGATGACAGCTGCAAGAGCAAAACCATTTTGATCCATTTTTGATCCATTTTTGATTCATTTTTGATCCATTTCTGATCCATTTTCCACAATTGCACCTGCAGTTTGAATTTTGCTCTCCAAGCTTAAATGATGCGCACTTCTTGCATGAAGTGCGCATAAACTCGTGTTTTGATGAGGCCCATTTGGATCATGATTTGGTGGCTGAGGCAGGTTTGTCCTGGCCATGTCTCATGAAAACGTCGTGAAGATTTGTGAAGACTTGAGTGTCAAGCCTTTCGGATGGTGAAGTCGCCTGAACGTCAATTCTCAATGGCCAATTTGAAGTTTCATTTATCTCTTCAAACTCTGCCGCTTTCTCCTAAGACACTGCAGATAGCTGACATAGCTCGGCACCACAAGTTCTATTTGTGTCGGAATGGCAAGTTGCGGAGATGTGCATGCCGTGCCGTTCAAAATAAATCGACAGTCATTGGGGCCCTTTTCCTTCTAGCGGCCTAATGTTTGTCACGATGTTGGAGAACTATGAAGAAGTGACAGGTTTCTGTGATTTCAGCCTATTCCAACATAAATTTCATTACTATTCCATTACTATTCCATTACTATTCTGTCATAGTTTCCGCTCTGCTTATGCTGCTTACTCTGCTGATTTTTTGATGCAGAGCTGGTGTCCTGAGGCCGCTGCAATGGGTCTGGACCTTCCTGTGCGAACGTTCAACGGCACTGACGTGTTGGACAGTCAATGTCTCAATTGCTGACCATCTGTCGTTTTTTCCCTCTGCTTGACATTGCTTTGTTCAAGTTCTTGAAATAATTATTTAATTATTCTGCTTGTTTTTTCTTTTCATGTTTTTGCCATTTTTGCACTCCATTCACTTCATTCCCTCTTTGGTAAGGCCTCATATCCACGGATCCAGCTATGGGCTCGTAGCTCAGCAGACTTGCGGTGGGTGTGTAAGTTGTATATTTGTTGCGGCCAGATCTTTTGTTGCGGTCATATCAAAACCGTATTTCTTTGGGGAGGCTGGCAGTCTTATGCAGTCTTGGTAGGTTCGTCCCTGCTGACCGACCAGCTTGGCCAATTCCAAAGCGTCAGCGACCAAGATGCTCGACCTTGCGATGTCCGAAGACACTTTGATCCGTTGAAGCTGTTGAACACAGACATTCTGGGGATTTCTGACAATACAACACTTCACTGACTTCACTGTGTCACGTTGTCAAACTGGGCTGAAATTGAGGTGGTGATCCCGACCCTACCGTCTGGAAGGTTGGACACCATGGCAGGTAGAGTCTGAAGTTATACACGGGTTCAGCGTTCATGGAGTCAATGCGGAACTGCCCAGCAGTTGAGTGGCTTTGTTTTGCCTTAAAAGGCGGGGCCGCTAAAAAGGCTTTGACTCCATGAATGTCTTGCTTGACTGGCATGGCCATGTCCATTGACTGGAGACAGGCAGCTTGTTTTCAACTGTGTCTCCACCTGGGGTGACAAAGACTTTGTTGGCCTTGCAGGGGTGGGAAGCTTAGTTGATATCGGCTCTGCTTCAAATTCATCCTAAACATTTTGCAGTTCCTCAGACGCTTCATATAATCTCAGCAACCTCAGCCATCTCACTTATCTCCTTTCCATCTTTTATTCCATCTCTTATAATGATTCTTCCGGTTCCGGTGACTGAATCTCATCCAGCAAGGACGTGAAGATTTGACCGAATATATATATATATATACGTATATATATATATTATATATTTATATATATATATAACCTATCGCTTTCCCCTGCCACTCCCTCTGCCTGTTCCTGAATCACTTGTGGTCAACTTGTACTCGTACTCCTGATGTGGTCAAAAACCGTCCTTTCGTATTCCTTTTGTGTGGTGTTTGTGCTAGTTGGAGCTGCCTGGACGTTCCCAGGATCACTGCTCCCCAGCCATGTGTACCTTTAATCCTAGAATTTGTTGTGTCAACACTCCTCTAGCTGTGCATGCAACCTTTGTCTCACTTGTGGCTTGAGTTAAAGGGCTGTGTCGATACACATGCATTCTATGTTGAACCAAGGAGCGCAAGCACAGCTGTTGAAAACAAGTATATCTATGTATTGTGATCTTCCACAATAAGAACAGAGAGGCAGAGAAAACGCTACTATTGGATACCGGCGTGTACCAAGATCGAGCTCTTTGATGGACACGGATTTCCAGTGGTTCTAAAAGATGTTGGCCGCCAGGCTGGAAGTTGAATTGTTGTCTATTTGAGTCAGCCCATTTGTGAATTTTGTGATGGAAAGGTCACTGCAGACCCTCATTCTATTAATGTGGGCTCCTGAGGGTGAACTCTGTCAATTTTGATTCCATAAGCAGTGTGATCAGCCTAGGTCCTGAGTGAGTACGACCATGACCCTAGAACTCCCGACAAACTCTTCGACCAGGCAGTCTTTCTGTTCTGTGTTTTGAATGCTGCTTTCATTTTCACACAGCAGCTCCAAAATTTGGGATCATTGCTTGACCAGAGGTCAACTTGACTCGAGATGACTTGCACGTTTGGCAGCAATCCCAGTCTGGATATGGACAGACCAAATGTGCGAAACTGCTCACATAGGGGGTGATCCCAGAAGGAATGCTGCATTGAATATGCAGAAACTTGGGAGCTGTGCACGAGGTGAAACTGTAATTTGATAATATTTTGTTCTGCAAGGCTAGCACCCTTTTTCCCTGGACGTGCTCACACGGTGCGACTGTAAGACTTTTTGGCCAAGCAAATTCTCTCAACCTTTTCTTCTCAACAAGTATTTTTGCTGACAGATCACCGTAGACATGGACTGCAAGACGGAGATCAGTATGATCCGAGCAACTCAGATGCTTTTGTTCTTTTTCTGTTTGCGTGATTGTGTTGAAAGTGATTTCTTTTTCTTGCACCTTGTGACTTTGACAGTGCCAATCGCTTTCTTGATTGCTGAAAGCCTTCAAGGTGTGGAACTACAACAAATCTCGACTGCACTCCAGCCGTGGTGTGAGGCAGTTCCGATAGGGTATGGGGAAACTCTTCTTATCCTAGTTGCCAACTCTCTGTCCGTAGATGGAGATTTAACTCGTTTTAGACATAAAGTGCTGTATGGGTGATGAGAACGATCAAAATGTAAACTCAATAAGAAATAGCAATCATTCTTCAACGATGATATGTGCACGAGACAGGGGTTTTATATCAGAACTATGAGAACGCTGGCTTCTGTGCACTGGTGGATTGATTTAAAAAGAGCATGAATGAACATCTGCGGAAACTTACTCTTGCAGGAACCAGTGCATAGATTTTGGATTACGTTGGCACGTTAAACTCAGGCTTGACTCGCACCGCTGCCAGGGACATGGAGATTTTGCTAGACGGTATCCCAATCTTCATTGGGGAGGCTTCTTGGAATCTGGACATCATGAGGACAAATTGTCGGTTCAAGACGTAGAGGGAAATCCAGTGACATGCAGTGTGTATTGTGAGGGAAGGTATTTTGTGTTTCCGTCATCCTGAGCCTTAGCACCAGGTTCGAAGAGCACCAGGAGTGCTCACCCAACCTGAAGAGGACTGAATGAGTCTGCAGACCGTTGGGCCGCGTGGAGGGAACTTGAACGATTCGATGTTGAATTACACATTATACTACAGTGACTACAGTAGACATGATTTTTCTGTATATTTAAAATAGTGTAAGATCCAGATATATAGGAACAATTAGGAATAAATATAGCATCATAGCTATGTGTAAATATTTATATTACCATATTACATATGTTTTCTATATAAATATCTAGGGATTCTCTGACTTGTGCTGTTGAATATGTGGGATTCTGCATTTGACTTGTGCGTCTCTGCAAGGCCTGTGAAGTCATCCTCTTTACGCAAGATGAGTCGGTTCTTGAGGCCATGCCGCAGGTACAGCAGGTACAGCAGGTATCGCATTGTATAATCGATTCTAATTATTAAATAATTGCATTACCATTCTCAGTATGCTGAGTATGCTGAGTATTCTGAGTATTCTGAGTCATCAGGCTGTTGCGGAGCATGACTGGCTTCCAGCTTGCCTGCCTGCTGATTCCGAGGATGAGGCTGGCATTGGAAAGTCAGAATTGGATCAGTTTTAGCAGTTCGTAGACCGGTTCTAAGACCGAAGCACTGTACTTTGAGTTTGTTGGCTTTGGTACAGGAGTCTGCAGAGGCATGAGTGGCCCCGTGGTGAGCCTTGTGCATGGAGTTGCTTCTCCAGGATGTACTGTATGACCATGAACAAAGAAAGATGTGTGAAGGATCATGTACAGTGACGTTTCCACGTGTGGAATGGCGAAATTTTCGATCACACTGACTGTTCCTGGCTCAATATCACCACACCGCACTGATCTTCACGAAGAAAATTCTTCAGTTGAGTCATTGAACCGTTTGAACCCGCTGATGGAGGCAGTTGAGATCCAGGTTGAGGATGGAAGGCCACCAACGGCAGGTTTGCAGGCTCCATGCAACCGAGAGTCGAGAGTGAATTGCCAGCAAGTTGATTCAAATGACTATTACAAAGGACAAAGGATCGCGCCAAGCATTTTGGAACTCAGTTGAACTCAGGTGTGTGCTGACTCGCCAAGGGGACAGGACTGGGATTTTGCAGCAAATGTATGCAACAGCCAGTCAACATGCCCACTGTGCAGGGATCAATCTCCTCCCACTCGTCGTACCAGCAAATACACAAATATTCCGCAGTGTCTAGCATACCAAAGAAGTTTATGCATCTTGGCCCAACTTCTGCGGAAAGGTAAACCCAACTTATGTAGGTCCCTGTACCTACTCTCAAAGAAGCTTGATGGGCCATGCTACATTCTGGTGCTTTTGAACTTTTTCTGCCACTGGTTTCACCAAATGTTGTTTCAGTTTTCCACCGTTCATAGCCTCATGTTACTGTTCCCCTGCTCACCCAGAAGACTCCTCGGGCTGGCTTGGACGGACGTCCCATGACTCGAGCTACAGAGCGGCAGCCTCGTGGCAAGGCTGGCCTTCCCATTATATACTGTCCCAAAAAATATTGAGAAAGGTCTGATGATCACAGATACCTCAAATACCACTGAATTGCCCACTGTCGGCATTACTCGGCGGAATAAACCGTGCCACCTTGCAAGCCCGCAAGGTGTGCAGCAGCCTCACGTTCACTGCCATCCCGACTCAATTATTCATAATTTTCTTATTCAATTGACCGATGAAAAGAGGGTTTAGTGCAAGAGATGTTATTGAGGTTGTTGTTTGACAGCTCTTTTTGGACCGAGTAAAACATTGCCTGGTAACTTGCTCTCCGGCGCGCAATGGCAGGTGCATTCCACATGGGGCGACCAGTTCTATGTCGGTTTGACAGCGCTCGAGGCACTGCTCTTTGTTGTGTTTTATCAGAGGCGAAGACTGGCAGCTATTCAGGCACCAAAGTGAATAGAAAGATGACACGGATAGGTTTGAATAAGGACAACCAAATCCTTCGAGTTTGGGTTTTGTTGTGGGATTTGGATGTTTTATCTCTTGGGTGTGGGCAGTTGCTTGACAACAAAGTTGCAACTGCAAATGCTTCGTGGATGTGTTGTTGTGACGGCAACTGTAACTATATTAATGAAGTCCAAGTCTGCGCTCAAATTGATGTCTGGGAGATGTTGGGACACATCCTCCCAGATGCCATCTTCCAATCCCTTGACGCATTTGCCTAAATATTGGCCTGCTGGACGTAGGATCTTTCTTGCATCGCACTCCTCTTCAGATTTTTTTGGCCAAGAAATGAAGCCGTTCTATCACACTAAGCGAGATGAAAACTATTCAGAGTATGGGGAGATTTTTCAGCCACTTGAAACACCGCGAACTTGTGAGGTTCTTGACAGCTCACTTAGTCCGATTCCAAGGGATGAGGCTGGAGACTTTGGAGGATTGCGCCAGTCCACCAGGAATCAAAGCACACTGCCTCATTCGGCCCCATTTGCCAGATTTGCCAGGTAAAGCTAGACGCAGTCCCAAGAGATTTGAATGACTTGGAGGTGGGCTTGTCACTCCGATGCAGAGTTGCTAGCGAGTTACCAGTAGTTTCAGACGAAAGTCCTACGTTTCACAACCAGAAAGATACTTAGAAGATTCTTAGAAGATCCTTGCAGTTTCTACTTCAAGACGTCAGATGCTGTAGCCTGGCTTTGCAAGGGAGTTGATGAAGACACTCGTATCCTGGAGAACATCTTCGATGGGGTGACGTTGGCCAGTCTTGCCGTGTTTCCAGAGTCGGCAGAAGTGGTTAGCAGTTGGATGCCAAATGTAGATAAGGTCAACAGGTCAAAGGCACAAACTTTGGCGGGCCGGTGAATTTCTGTCATGAACGATTCAGACTTGATATATCAGGTTTGCTGCACCACAGAGGACTCCCACATGTGGCTCGCTCCTTTCATCAAGGCAAAGCATCAGAAGGGGGAGCTAGAGAGGGTGAGAGAGAGAGAGACAGAGAGAGAAGAGCGAGAGAGTGAGAGAGGGAGAGAGACAGAGAAACAGAGAAAGGGAGAGCTGAAGAGAGAAGCAGAGAGGGGCTATCGAAAGACATGACATTTGAGTTTTGGACATGTTCGACAAGAAAGTAGAAACATTTCTCAAATTGGGGTCGGGTGCAGTTGAGGCACCTGCAGGAAACTCAAGCTGTGATTCCGCGGAAGAGGTCCATGACCGTTCATGGTTTTGTGGTTGTGATTGTACTTGTGACCACCCACAGTTCGAGCGTCGATGAAAACTCTGACTGATGTTTGGAGCTCGCTCTTTCTCCAGATACAGCGAAATACGATTCACATTGGCTTCGCGAAGCCTTGTGAGGCCGCTTTGGACATCATTCCTGTGTGATTTTATGATGTATGATGTTTTCAGGACATACGCCCGGATCGGTGATTTTGAAAGTTTTGCTTTAGTTGTGGTGCAGCTCGAACTGAAGGGCTTCCCTAGTAGGGTTTCGAATTGTCTAGACAGGTTGCGGGATTCAACATATGGAACTACAACAAGAACGAGGAGGACTATTCTGGACCATGCACCACTGCTCGAATCTCCTGAAGATTAGTGCAAGCATCTCGAGAAGCTTTGAGTCCTCATAAGACTCATAAGCAATTCCTGTGGTGCATCTTCACAGGACACAAGCCGAGGTATTCGAGAATTCTCAGTCCACTGCGATGACAGGCCATGAAGAAAAATGTATATCTATACACAGGAAATGTCCTTCTTTGCCACTTTGCTCTTTCACTTGCTTGCTCACTACTTTCTCACTTTTGTGCCGCGGGCATGAAGTTGCAGATCCTTTTGAGTTGAGGTACATTTCGACATTCCTCTGCCGGAAAGCACCAGGTGCCATGACGAGGAATGCGTCATGGACCGCGGTTTTGATATGTTTTGCCTGCAAAAAGAACTACAATGGAACCCTGTTCACTTTGCCTGGAGTGCCACGCTGAGGCCACACGCATTTCGACTTTAAGCAGCTTGTTCTCCTCGACCAACCTCCCTCTGTGCGCCGTTAGTTACACTTGCATGTAGAAGTGGCCCAGCATGGATCGGCATGGCACAATGGCACAGGGGCAACAGAGATCTGAGGAAAGTGTGAGACGGTCGGCTCGAGCAGTTGCTCGTTTGCCATCTCGATCTGCAAGCAAGTCTAGGTCTTAGCGAGTCTTATAGCGAGTCTTATAGCGAGTCTTATAGCGAGTCTTATAGCGAGTCTTAGTGAGTCTTTGTGACTTTGCTTTGCCTGGGATTCTTTTCAAGTGTTTTCAAATTACACTGAATGCCAAGAACTGCGGGGGCGCAAAAACCGCCTTTGGGTCGGCCCCCGAGCGGATCGGACAGGCTAGGTGCTGTGATGCTTAGCACAAAGCGGATGGCAGCTTGAATCATGCAGACAGAGTGAACATTTGGTGAGCAAGAGAAAGTGAAGTGTAGGTGAACTTGAAGCCTTAGATTCAGATTCCTTAGGTTCCTTAGATTGTAGTGAGTGTTCGATTCAAGAATTATCAAACATGTTCAAGAATGTTCGAGATTCAAAATGTTGCTTTGGACAGGAGAGCCAATGCGGACAATCTCATACACTCACCTTCCCCAAACGGACATGAACTTCGACAGCAGCAGCACTGGCATGTCTTGGCTTTACGGGGAAACCTTACTGGACTTGCCTGACTTCCAGGTACGAGACGCCTTTGCACCCTTGCGGCTTCGTTTTCAAGTTCATGTTCTTGAGCACTTGGTCTGACGTGAGGATCTCAATGTCAACGCAAGAAGGCATTGCAGCAATTGCATGCTCATAACAAGCTGATTGAAATGTTGTTCTACAATTTTACAATATTTTACAATTGATGAATTGTGATACTGTCCTAGGTCCACTACATCGGGCTCGATGGCATAGAGGTACAGCAAGCATGGACGGATCAGAATGTAGCATCAGCGGTCCAGGGGATCAATGAGAGAAGTACTCATAAGGGTTTCTGTGCTCCTAGAAGGATCTAGAAGGATCAGGAGCTTTTGCCGTCGTGGAAGCCATGTGAAGAGTAAATGGTCACAGGATGCCTCAAGCTAGCTTTTGGTTTGCAGAGCTTGCCCCTCATGCCGTCATGACATCAGAGATCTGGTAGAGCAAAACATTGTTGGCTTTATGAATATGCAGTTTGAGAAAATTGGCTGCAGCAGAGCAGTATCATTTCCTTTCTTTATTCCGTTACTCATCCCACTTTTGCAGCTACTCACCACGTCCGGACTTCATTGTGCCGAGATTCGGACAGCCAACCTATGTAAATACTTTCGGAAGCTTAAGCCAACAAATCCAAACGATATCTTTTTTAGGAGCACAAGCGACAGACTACTTTGTTGCGAAGGTACTTTTTAGGGTTTTCTCATCTATAGCCCCCTAGAAGTTTGTGGATATACAGAGCAGTGTATATATATTAATAATTTATAATATATTAATATGTATTATATATATATAGTATTAATATGTATACAGTGTATATATATATATAGATGTATATGAATATATATATATATATATATCTATTTGTATATTATATTATTGACCGCGGTTTTCGAGAGATTTGCCGCAAATTGTCTGTCAATAGCCACAAAGCCCTTGTTCTCAGATCTACGACACATCTGGGCGAGGATTGAGGCGATTTGGACTGTTACGTGAGCTATTCCACTTTGCCCGACATGTTGGTGTTTCAAGCAGACAAGATCTTAAACAAGCAAGAGACCGCTGCAAATTGGCAAAGGCCAAAGAGAGCCTACTCGAACTATGGAAGCGTCAGGCAGACTTACCACAAAGCACAGACGGCAGCGTTTTGCTGCACTGCTGCCCAAGAATTTTGCTGCCAAGGGACTTGCCTGGGATGGAGGCAGATGTCCGATCGGAGGCCAGGCTGCTCAGAGTTTTGTCACTTCGGACCACTTTCTATGATGGCATGGCACACTTTGGAAAGTGACATAGTCTACTTGATTGTAAAGCAACAATGCCAGTGAAGTATGCAAAATGGGCAGGACTCTCTTCTGAAGGGAACACCGCAGAATGCACGAATGTGGCAAAAGCCCCGGTCCGCTGGGACATTGATTTGCAGCTTGTGCTTCCAACATCTTTCAACTTTGATTATCTTTTTGTCCCCAACAGCGTAAGCTAGTGGGGTCTTCAGCCCAGAATAGCTCCGGTGTGCACTGGTGCAGGCGCCGGGTCAGGTTCAACTAGGTTCCGAAGGTTCCGGAGAAGGTCTGGGAGGCTTTGGTGCAGAGCCAGGTCAGGTTCAACAGGGTTCCGAAGAAGGTTCCGGAGAAGGTCTGAAGGCTTTGGTGCAGAGCCAGGTCAGGTTCAACAAAGTTCCGGAGAAGGTTCTGGAGAAGGTGTGTGAGGCTTTGGTGCAAAGCCAGGTTAGATTCAACAGGCTTCCGGAGAAGGTTCCGGGGAAGGTTCCGGGGAAGGTTCGGGGAGGCTTTGGTGCAGAGCCAGGCAAGAGGGTTGCGGAGAAGGTTCCGGAGAAGGTTCCAGGAAGCCTTGGTGCAAAGCCAAGTCATGTTCAACGGGTTCCGGAGAAGGTTGCAGAGAAGGTCCCGGAGAAGGTTTCGGGAATCTTTGGTGCAGGGCCAGGTCAGGTTCAACGGGTTCCGGAGAAGGTTGCAGAGAAGGTTCCGGAGAAGTTCATTTTTCTTCTTTTTGTTTTCATGCATGTACACACGGCATACATGGATGTCATTAGAGCAATTGTGCTTTTCTGACTCTTTCTTAAGATTTGTTTTGATCATGCCGATTTAACTTGCAATTTTGCCTCGACGTTGTGTTTTGGAAAGATTTGCAAAAATAAAACGTTGCAGCTGTTGGGGATACCACCGAAGCTGATTTTTTGTCCAAACCTTTGCTGGAAAGGACACACCGCTTCAGATCTCTTCAGATCTTCAGTCTCACTTAGTCGGTTGGTCAGCGTTGGTCGGTGGTTCTCCTTCTCAAAGAACTGACTGTCGCCATCCTTGTCCTGCGAGTGGGTTTCCGTGGGATGTCGTGGGAGTGTATGATTAGTCTCATCTCCTTCCATCTCGTCACATTCAGCAATGCTCAGTCTGTTTCAATCTTCGGTTTACTGAAAATGAATGAGGCTGGCACCATATTACCGGCAGCCGGCCAACTTCGTATGCGTCCTCAGCATCTCTCGGCCCGCGTGCATTTTTGAGACCTCACTGCCTGCCACAAACCCAGGTAGAGCTGGTGTTTGACCAGCCCACGCAAATTTCTGTGATCAAGTTCTGGAACTATTCCAGGCAAGAGTCCAAGTAGTGTCATTGTAGTCATGATACAGTCTTTAGCCCATTTAACTCTGCTTGAAGACTGATATTGGCTCAGAATCTTCTGGCGACAGACAGTATTGAGGACACCTGCTAGAGGAGTTCGAGATGTTGAAATCTATGCACCATGGCTTGCAAGATTTTCAGCTGGTTAGTAAGGTAGGTCTGCCCGTTTTTGGTCATATTGACCTTGCCTTGAGGTCGACGACCTGATCATTTACCAAGGAATTCTACGTCAGGCCATGATTTTCGACTGAAGCTGTGTATACGTTCAGGTTTCCACCGACTTCAACCAGATTCCGTCACAATGCACAGGCATCTGGTCAAGATGGAGGCTCTGCCACACGAGCTGATTGGGTTTGGTAAATTCCTGGATGTCAAAAGTTTTGGCCAAGGCAGAGCAGAGCAAAGACAGATTTAGAAATTGTTCGTTTGCCAGAATCCAAAGCTGACTTCAGCAGGTGAAGCAGTTCTTTTCACTGATCAGCCTTCAATCTTGGAGAGGTAGGATCGTGCGTCTTGAGGGAACCAGGGAACCAGTAAATCATTTTTCTGTTGAGTAAGCTATATAGTTGGTAGGGAATCAATGCGGAGGCGAGCCCCAGTAAGAGAACTCAAGACTTTGTTAACTGTCATTTGTGCTTGCATCTTAACAACATACAGCTTGATCCGATGCTTGAGTGAGTCTGGTTGGTTGGCTGGCTGTCCAACTTGTATTCCTCAACAAAACGCCAAAAAAACGTTTATCACAATGCATTTCATTTTTGTAACAATTCAAAAAGTCTTAGTTCTGGCTTACTGGCAGGGAGCGTTCCCTCGTTTATCAGCCAAGTCCAGCCCCCATTTGTTGCGACGCCTTCTTTCAGCACATTCCTGATGTTTGCTTGACCTGATAATGAGCATTTGTTCGCGGGAAAGCTGCCAACATTCGACAAGGTCCAGAAGATCTCATTGCTTTCTTCGATGAAAGTCTTGAACTCAAGTAGTGTTTTTTAATGTTTTGTTGTTGCGTAAAGTGATTCCCGCCAGAAGTTTGAAGGAAAAGCAGCGGGAAGATGTGGGAAGACTGGATGAGTTGGGTGAGTCGGTGAGTTGTTGCAAGTGTCCGGAGGTGGCCAGTGGGATCAGCGCACTGGCAACCATATACCAGGTGTGCTGCACGCATCCAGAGGGAATACAGCAGCGGTTAAACAACTACGTATATAATATATATATATATATATGTATATATATATACTGCTGGTTGGTGGTTTGGAACATTTTTTATTTTTCCATATATTGGTATATATTTATATGTATATACATCTACGTACTAACGTACAGTATTAAATATCCTGCTCAAATGACCTTAAATCAAGTTGAATAATCTTAAATAAATTGAGATGTTTAATGATCTTGAATTCGCCGATTTGCTCCTACTGTGCAGTGCTCTTCGGGCTTTAAATGATTGCACTGTGTCCCTGTGCCCTTTGCAAATCGCCTCAGATTCATCACAACCTGAGCGACCAATGACGGCTCTGACTGTTAGTACAAGATAGAATCGACATTGTTTCATGTGCAACCTAGATATTTTGACTCTTTGCGACGCTAGTGACCAGGAATATAGAACTCAAGAGAAAACACAACTGGAATGTATGTATGCAGTGTTGGACAGCAACCTTGGATCCTGTTGGAGACTTAAAAGCACCAAGCGCCGCTTTTCGCCACCTAGCTTCCTGGCTTCTCTACAAATTGGAGAGGCCGTGTACATAGCAATTGACTAGACATTCGTGGTGACAGACGAGTCCACGGAAACAAGAAATTGCATGTCGAAAGGAATCACGGCAATGCTGTTGGATCGCAAGACCAGTATGCAGCGAGAATTAGAACGATTCTGCATTCACACTGTACTTGTACTGGTAAGTGTTGTATGTTTTGCGGCTTGCAGTTTGTGCTCTTAGCAGAAATCCGAGTAGGGCTTTGGGCAATGACACATTGCGAATTGGTGCAAGCCAAGTTCTGAGAGCAATCGCCTTTTGGGCCAGTCTTTTGTTTTTTTGCAGCGTGCCTTCCTGCCTACTTTCAGGTTTCTTTTGATGTGCGGCAGCAACATCATGACTGTGGCAGTGACTTCGCCCAAATTGGTGGATATATTTATCTATGTATGTGACGTAATGTAATGTAATGGAATTCAATGCAATGCAATGCAAATCATTTATGTATCTATATGTCTATATGAACATGAACATGTGAAGCTAATCCATCTATCTATACGTATATATATATATATGTGTTGTCTATCTGTCTATCTGCCCATCTGTCTAACCATTAAATGCTCTGTGGCTGCTTGGAGCGGCGACTTAAGGTGCTTGTTGCTTATGATCTACAAAGCTGGCCATGGGGTGCGGATGCGTTTCGCAGCACCAGGCTAGTTGGAAAGACACAAGCAGCCAGTAGCTATCACCCCCCATGGGAAGCCTGGATAAAAGAAACAGTATCCGAAACCAGATTTTGTTCCCCATGATCCAACAATATAGCAGAACATTGCTATTCGCAATAAGCCCGTCAGAAATACAACAACACAAGAATGACCATGTTGAATTGCGACAGCACTTGAAGAGCCAACAACAAAACACCCCTACTAATTAACTCTAAATATTTTGATTATTTTGATTTCGATTTGAACTGCATAGAGCTGCCATATAGGTCGGGGCCTCGCTTCGAACCGGGGCCTCGCTTCGAACCCTTGATTTGGCCTTGCTTCCAACGCTCCTTTTTACCTCACTTTCGATGCCGGTTTTATCATGTTTAGGATTCATGGAATATTCATTTTCGTATCCATATGTGACCCATGAATGTTGTTTTTACCACCCCGCCCCGCCCCACCTCATCAGGCGCAAGTGAGCACGAACGTTATTACCACCCCACCCCATGAACAGTGCGGAGTGAAAGTGGCCAGTGTTGAAAATGAGTCATGGGTGATCATGGGTGTCTAAAGTGCTGCCCCTTTTGTGTCTCAAGTGACTCGGTGTCTGAAGTGAGTCCTTCACCGAACTGATCATATTCTTCACTGCATGCTCAACACTCTCAACAGCTGAGCCTCAAACAGTTCTAATAAGACAAAGCGGTGAGACTCGAGTGATCCATCTCCCCAACATCTACCAACATCTACCAGGTAATCTACCAACTTTCCAACATTCACTTCCTACACTTTCACTCACTCAATCACTTTCATCCTGCGAGTGGTGGACGTGGACCAGGTTGGCATCCCTGGTGGTGGACCTCGCCAGTTTCTGTACACAGCTACAGACAAGGACTGACGGACACTGAGGGATAAGGAAAATCTCTAGGAACATCTCCTCCTCCTTCCCGTGGATGAGCTGCACGGATGAGCTGCACATGCTGCACATTGAACTTGATTGAACTTGACAATTCTCGGCATTTGGATTCTTGGATGCCTCATTGCAACCACGAAAAGAAGCCAAACTTCCAAAAGCCAGTCATTTGATTCCCTTGAGCACGAACGTGTCGTGCACACGGCAGTTTTCCTGGCCGTTTGGACACACGTCACTTTACAAATGAGCATGGAAATTCTTTTCCACACAAATTTTACTTCGCCAATGAGCATGGACAGTCTGGGGATTTTCAGGAGTTCGTGCGATCTCTGGACAAAGAGGAACTCAAGGCCCTACTGACTTGCGAGTTGAGTCAAAAGTGTGGCCATTCCGAGGCAACGTTGAGCTGTTTTTGTTCAAGTACCTCCCAGTGCCTCCCAGTGCCTCCCATGTGTG